CTGAAAAAATACTCAATTTGATGAAAAGTATCATGTAGGTCCCAGTAACTCAAGAAATCACAATGAGACACATGACAAATTATACTAAGGCACACCATAATTGAATGGCTCAATACCAGCAATAAAAAGAAAGATCTTAAAAGCAGCTAGTAAAAGAAGAAGAAGGAGAAGGAGAAAAAGAAGAAGAAGGCACATTCCATACAGAAAAACAAAGATGAGGATAACTACAGACTTCTTGTTGGAAACAATGAAAGTGAGTAGACAGTGGAGCAACACCTTTAAAGTGCTGAATAAACAAAATCCAAACAAACCCATCACAATAGAATTTTAAACCCAGCAAAAATTCTTTCAAGAGAAAAAGTAAAGTAAAGATTTTTTTCACACATATATTCTTGAAAGAATTCCTCACCAGCAGACTGGCACTGTAAAAAATGGTCAAGATTTTCTTCAGGCAGAAAGAAAAGAATACTAGGTAGAAATCTGGGTCTATACAAAGAAGTGAAGGGCACTGAAAATGATAACTATATGGGTAAATATATAAGATTTTTTTCTTATGTAAATATTTTAAAAATCTGAGATAAATTTTTACAAAAAAATTACAACATAGTGTGGCATTTATAACATAAGTGAAATGTAAGACAACAGTATAAAAGACAGGAGTGGAGCAGTGAAAGTAGAGTACTTTAAGGCTCTTACATATGTATGTGTAAAGTGGTAGATCCCTTGAAGGTAGATTGTGAGAAATTTACAAACCCTAAATCAAAGATAACAAAATAAAGAGTTACAGCTAATAAGCCAACAAAGGATCTAAGTGAATCCAAAAAAAAAAGTCAGAAAATGAAGAAAAAGGGAACAAAGAATATGTGGGACAAATAGCTATATGATAGACTTAAATCTACATATATCAATAATCACATTGAATGTAAATGGTTCAGGGGTGGGGACCATCCAGCTGGCGGGCCATATAAGGCCTGTGAAATACAATACCAGCTAACATCACACGCCTCATCAAATTAGCCTGACCAAACATAGCAGGCTAATTTTTAAGTTGATTCTTTTATATGGCCCGAAAATGATGTTATAAATATCCAAATGGCCATTGGCGGAAAAAAGGTTTCCCACCTCTGGAATATTTCAATGGAAAGAGATGATCAGATTGGGTTAAAAAGACTTTTATTTTATTTTATTTTATTTTAATTTATTTTATTTTATTTTATTATTTTATCCTCACCCGAGAACATTTCTGCATTTATCTTCAGATAGAGCAGGAGGGAGAGAGGGAAGAATAGAGAGAGAGAAACATGGATGTGAGAGAGACACATCGACTGGTCACCACCCACACGACCCCAACCAAGGCTGGGGACAAACCACAACTGAGGTACATGCCCTTAGTGAGAACTGAACCCAGATCTCTCTGGTCTGCGATTCAATGCTCCAACCACTAAGCCAAACTGGCCAGGGCAAAAAAGAGTTTCAAATATAAGACACAACTAAGTTAAAAGTAAAAGGGTGGAAAAAATATTGCATGCTAACACTAATATAAGGAATGCTATAGTGCCTATGTTAATACCAGACAAAGTAGATATCAGAGAAAAGAATACTATTAGAGGCAAAGAAGGCAATTTCATAATAATAAAGAGTCATTTGGTCCGGAGGACATAACACTAAACATTTATGCACCTAACAGTAGAGTTTCAAAACAAACAAAGTGAAATGGATAGAAATGCAAGGAGATAGACAAATCCACAATTATAGCAAATGGCTAAGGTTGTAAGATATAAGATTAATATACACAAATCAACTGTATTTCTATATACTGACAATGAGCAATTGTAGTTACAAATTAAAACAGTATAGAAAGTAGGAAATGCTTTGGGATAAGTCTGACAAAATATATGTAAACTTGAACACTAAAAACTACAAACATTGCTGAAAGAAATTAAGATATAAATAAATGGAGAGATATACCTGTTCATGGATCAAATGACTCCGTATTGTTCAACTGTCGATTATCATTGAATTGATAGATCCACACTATCTCAAACCAAAATCCAGCCGACTTTTATTTGTGGGAAATTACCTGCTGATTTTAAAATTGATATGGGAATTCAAAAAGAACTTAGAATAGTCAAAACAACTTGAAAAAGAACAATGTTGCCTGATTTAAAGACTTACATGGCTACAGTGGTTAATACAGTATGGTATTGGCATAAAGATAGACAAACAGATCAATAGAACAGAAAAAGAGAGTCCTGAAATAAATCCACACATATATGGAGAACTGATTTTTTATAAAGGTACAAAGGTAATTCAGAGGGAGAATAAAATGACAAAACTTCTAGAAGAAAACATATGAGAAAATATTTGTGATCTTGGGTTAGTCAAAGATTTCTTCAATATGACACTAAAAGCACAATCCATAAAAGAACAAATTGTTAGGACTTCATCAAATTAAAAAACTTCTGTTCTTCAAAAGACATCATTAAGAGAATGAAAAGACAAACTACAGACCAGAATAAAATATTTGCAAAGCACACACCTTAGGACTCATATCTAGAATATATAAAAAACTCAACATTCAATAAGAAAACCAAATTAAAAAATGGGCAAAAGATTTTTTTTTTTTATCCTCACCCAAGGACATTTTTTCATTTTCTGTTCAGATAGAGTGGGAGGGAGAGAGAGGAAGAGAGAGAGAGAGAGAGAGAGAAACATCGATGTGAAAGGGACACATTGAGTGGTTGCCACCTGCATGACCCAACCAGGGCCCATCGTGGGAAACGAACCCGGGTCTCTCTGGACCGCAGGCCGATGCTCTAACCGCTGAGCCAAACCGGCCAGGGCATGGGCAAAAGATTTGAACAAACACTTCAATGAAGAAGATATAGATGACAAATAAGCACATGAAAACATGCCCAACATCATTAGTCACAGGAAATGCAAATTAAAACCACAAAGATATGCCATTTCACACCCACTGAGATGGCTAGAATTAAAGATTGAGCTAGCAGTCTGGCTGGTGTGGCTCAGTGGTTGAGCATTGACCCATACACCAAGAGGCTGCTGGTTCGACTCCCGGTCAGGACACATGCTCAGGTTGTGGGCCCGATCCCCAGTGGGGGACGTGCAGGAGGTGGCCAATCGATGTTCTCTTTCATCGATGTTTCTATCTCTCTCTCCCTCTCACTTCCTTTCTAAGATCAATAAAGAAAAAATAAAATAAAAAAGGACTGAGCTAGAAGAAGATGATGAGGGCGTGGGGGAACTGGCACTCCCACGCATGAGGGGAATCTATAATGCTACAACCACTGTAGAAAACAGGTTAAAAGTTTGTTGAAAAGTTAAATATACACCTATCAAATGATCCAGCAATTTCACTCCTAGGCATCTGCCCACAAGAAATGGAAGAATATGTCCATACAGTCTTGTACATGAATGTTCATAGCCGTTTTATTTGTAGACACTCAAGGGTGAGCCTACCCTGACAACACCTCCTCACTGTGGTCTAGAGGCCCAGTTCCTCAGGGTTCTGGGCATCACCTGAGGCAGGTGACCTGCCTAGCACAGGGTCATCCCATCTGGGTGCAGCCCCCATGCTGACTCCTTCTGGGTGTCCTGTGCAGAGCTCCCTCAGTGTTCCCCAAATTGCTCCTGGGCTGCTGTCACCTAACAGGCTCCAGTTGCAACTCTGAGCCTGCACCTCCATGGTGGGCTGACATATATCAACTCCAACCTGTCCCAGACCTACACCCCCCTTCCCCTACCTCTCCACAGCCTCCCCAGAGCTGAGCGCCTTCTGTCCACCTTGACCTTTCTTTCACAGCCCACATCTTATCTGTCAGGAATCCTGTTGGTTCTCCCTTCAAAATGCCTCCAGAACCCATGCTCCCTGGCCCGGCCCACCTTCTGGCAGTGCCTGCAGCCCTCAGAACCTGTGCCCCCCGTCCTGTTACCTGCACCAGCTCGGGCACCCAGCCCTGGCTCCAGCCACCCCTCCACCTGCTGTTCTCAGCCCAGGCCCACCTAGGCCACACATTTAACCCTGCACTTCCGATGCCCTCCTCACTGCTGGGCTTATCTCATCATGGGCACTACTGCTTTCTATGGCACTTACCTTGTCTACTGGCAACCCGCTGATGGAAGTGCCCAGGGGAAGGCTTGTGTCCATCACATCTCTGCCACCTCTCAGACCCCAAGTGGTGGCTGGCACGTGGTCAACATGTCCAGTGGGTGAGTAAATCACATGACCCTAAACCATCTAGTGTACAATGGGGCCAGGTGCTGCCATGTTGTGCACCCAGCCTTGGCCAGGGTACTCTGGGGATGGTGATGGGAGCGTGTCCTGGCGGCCTAGGCACATAAGGCAAGTACCTCAGGTCTGGCCGGAGTTTGGACAGATAGAAAGGGGGCTTCTGCCGAGAGGTGGATGTGGTGGGCAGACTATCCCAGCCACTGCATGCTTGGTGGGTTCTGGGAGAGACAGATGGTGTCTGTCCACCCATGAGTCTCCCTCTGTGAGGGGCCTGTGTCCTAACCAGGGCTTCCAGAGGGACAGTGGGCTCCTTCAAGGTGAGCACAGGTGAGCCAAGCAGACAGATCAGAGAAAGGGTGAGATGTACATGCTGGGAAGTGCCTGGGGTCACCATGTGTGGCCTGGCCTCCCATGGCCACAGAGGCAGTGGGAGAGGCTAGTTCCCCAAGTTAGAAACCGGCACTTTGGAGCCAGGGTAAGAATGGAGTTTTCATTATTCTCATTTTACATAGTTTTGCAAAAGTAAAACTAGAAAGACCTATGCAAGTCAAACATTTTAGAAAGGACTGGTAGAGAGGGGATGAAGTCTTAATTTATATGAGAAAGAATCAGCTTCTTTAGACAGCAGGAGGCCGGAAAGCCAGGTATCATGAATGTGTGACCAAGTGTATGAGCATGTGTGTACGTGGGAGGGGGTTCTGAGTGAGGGGCACAAAGAGGAGCCAGAGCCAGTAGGGGAAGCCCACGACATTTATTGAACTCCAACATGGTGCAGAGGCACTTCCTGGCCAGTCCGCACCCTCCAGCCACCCCAGAAGCCACCCAGGGCCCATGTATGGCTCCCCACACACATCTCTGTGAAGTCAGAGCCTAGCAACCCCTTCACCCCACCTCTTTGGTCAGGACCTGGCACCCGCTTTTCCTTCCCTCAGAACAAGGGGAAGGGTGCAGCCTGACCCAGCACAAGACTTGCATGGACACGTGGGCCAAAACAAGCAAGGGGGAAACAAAGTCAGCAGGTGGGGCAGATGAGAGGGGCAGCCACAAGTCTAGATGGTTGAGGAGAGGACAGCTGATAGGAAGTGCTGTCAAAATGTCAAACCAACTCTTAAAACAGTTACACTGACACTAAGGAACAATACTTCTAAAATGTCACGGATGGGAACGCCCCCAAGCATTGAACATAATAAGCACTGCATGCGGATGCTTGAGCGGACCGGAGCAGAAGTTACTGAATGTGCAGAGTCAGGGACAGGCCTGGAGCTCACAGACAGCTGTAGATATAGACTTGCTTTGTCAGCATGTATACCTCTACGGCACAGACCATTTTGTTAGTAAAGAAAACCTCTATTTGTATTTGTGAGAAGGATAGGCTGTCTGTACAGAGTGCGCGAGCCAGGTGGATGCCAGGGTTCGCGGTGTAAAGGACGCTGGGCAGGATTAGAGCGCGCCCATCCCAGTGACCTCAGACGTCAGCCTGAAAGAGACAGAAGGCACAGGGAGATAGGTCACAGTGTTCTCATAAAATGAGATCAAACATGAAATGTATTACTCTGTGGCATCCTCACAGCCTTGGCATCTATCTCCTTCCTTGTTGGAACAGATAATCTCTGGTCAGTGCTCATTAGCCTTGAGCTGGAGACCAAGGCCCAGCAGAGGGAGGAACTACCTCTGATATGATGCCTGTCATCATATCAGGGGCATGATGAGAACCACCTGGATAATCATAGGCTACAACTATTTCTACGGCAACCACTTGGGGAGGGGCACTGGAGTCATACTGTTTACAGGGGCTGTCAGCCTGTCCACCTGGGTCTTCTTCCAGTCCCCTCAACATTCTGCAGTAGGGAGGGCAGTCTGGCCCCAGGTAGAGGGGATGCAGGGTGCTTCCTGGCCCCCTGAGAAGTCCCATCTCCCTGGGTGTGGTTACACCAAGTTTTCCAATGTGCCCTGAGCAGAGAGCCCAGGTGAGTGGCTCAGGTGTGGCCAGAAGAGTTGTCCAGTGCTCTGGGCTTCTCATCATGTGCCCTGGCAGGGCTGCAGAACCTCACCTGCCCCTGCATGTAACCTTGAACCCTTGCATAGTTCCCTCATGCTCTGCGGGTATCCTTTCAATTAGCCCAGGTGCATGGCTGACCCCAGGCCCTGGACAGCGTAGCCACTGCCTTCCTGAAAATACTCTCACCTCCAATCATCTAGCCCCTCTCAGAAGATCCTTCAGGGTAAAAGGTCAAGTGAGAAGGGCTCCCTCCATGTCTTTGTGGAGACTGTCCAGCATCTTCCATGCCTAGGCCCAGCCACAGAAAAGCCCCCAAGGAGGCACACCCCACACTCATAGCCAGTCTCTGAGCACCCTATCCATTAACCAGTACTCACCTGGCATTGATGAGGTACTGGGCAAGGCTGATGTTGGCTGGGGTCCCTGTGATGGTGATCTGGCGCTCTGATGACCCTTCTGTGGCATTAGCAATTTTGATCTGAGCTCCAGACATCTGTCGAATTTCATTGATTTTGGTTCCTTGGCGTCCAATTATACAGCCTATTAACTAGAAAAAAGGATGGAGGCATTTCTTAGAGAAGAGCCCATGGCAGCCCTGAGCAGAGTGCAGAGCCCTGGGGAAAGCTTGTGGGGATGGCCCAGCCTTGGTCTCCACCCCACACCGCCAACTCTTGCTTCCAGAAGGACGAGGCCCTGCCTTCCTGTGGAAGGAATGGGAACTGTGGGCACCAGGACTCTGCTTGGTGACCTATTTGTGAGCCGTCCTGACAAATCAGGAGCCTAGAGAGTCACATGGCTTTCACCTGCCCAGTGTTCTATGGGAGCCCAGAGGCCCAATGCCAATACCAAGGCTAAGGCTATGTTGGCACCTTCTTGGCTGGGTTCTCAGGGTGATGGGATGTTTGTCTGAAGCCAGAGTAAAGATCGCTGCTGTCTAATACCTGTCTTTTAATAAACTTGGGTGGAATTCTGAGGACACACCAGATGTTCCCTTTCCTTTCCATCCTGTGACCTCTGTTTCAGGATGGATGCAGTGGCATCTGGCCACTCAGCCATTTCAAGGAGTAGACAGTCATCGAGATGAAGCAGCCAGAGGGACAAGAGCCAGGGCCTCCTCAGGACACAGGACAGCTACACATGGGGCCAGACTGCAGCCTGAGGTCCCTGCTGTGCATGGACAGAACTGAGTCCCTTCATTCACATGGGAGCTGCTGAGGAGAGCTCTGAGCATGAGCACAGAAAGAAGAAGCCAGACAAGTGGGGCCTGTGCAGTTGGTTTCCTATCCACCTCACATGTGGCAGCCTGGACGAGGATGTCAGCACATGTGACATCAGTTCTTATGTTCTTATGTCAGCAAGGTGGTAGGTACAGGAGTTGGGCCTGGGCTTGAGGAAATCCATTTCCAAATGAAGTGACTCTGAACATGCACAGTGACAACAACTCACGGAACACAGGAGCACCTCAACTAGCTCTTGTTCCTGAGGTGACTTAGAGCATCTCAATTCTGCTCATCTGTAGGGCCATGTCTGCTCCCTTCCTAGGTTAGACCAGCTGCCTCACTAGACCTTAACACAATCTCTCCAAATATCCAAACTTCTCCAAGCTGCTCAGCTTCCTCCATCTCCTACCCAAGTTCCCCCCCCCCCCCCCCACTCCACCCACATCTCTCCAGGCTCTGCCCACACACTCCCCTGGGCCCACCTACCTCCCTAGGCTCTGCCCACATCTCACCAGCTTCACCCCCACTCCTGGCCAGGGAGAGTGACTTCCACAGTTATCAGCCTGAGATCCTTGACTCACTTCCCTGGCACCCTCCCACTGGCAGAGAAATCTTGAGGGCCCTTCTCTGCCAGGGCCAGTCAAGGCAGGTGCCAGGCAGGCCCACTGAGGCAGCAGAACTGGAGAGAGTGTGTGGGGGCAGCTGAGTTCACTGAAGATGCCTGCACTCAGGAGGTCCTGCCTGAGCTTTTGCCCTGACTTGGTATGTCCTGTCACTGTCCTCCCTCTGTCCTCACACCTTCCTCGGCCACTAGAAACTGATGTCTGACAGCCCACTTTCCCTTTGCACTTTAGTGGGAGAGGCCCTGCCCCGCCCGCACAGCGCTCTAGTAAGCAGTCTGAGGTAGACTTCCTCTGACATGCAGTCCCTACACGCTCTTAAACATGTTTGTCTTCCCATTTTCTTGCTGAAAACATTCTCACACCCACCCCTCTCTTCTTCCTCACCCTCAAGGCATCTCCCCTCCCTGAGACGTTATACCCAACGGCCCCTGAGCTGCTCACCACCCCAACATGGAACATCTCTCTTCCAGACAAGACTGCAGTCTGAGTGTTAATGAGAAACCACAGCTGTCAGTATAGCATAAGGCTCTTCTGAGCAGCTAGAGGGGGACGTGACAAGGCACAGGCCTCTCTAATCTGGACATGAGTGCAAGGACTGCACCAGCTCTGCCCTGGACTAGCTCCTTTGGAGGAGGCATGCTAGGCCAGACCTGCAACCCAAGGCTGCCCTTTCGCACAGCCTCTCTGGCTCTCCGGGTTCCTCGGACATTCAATCCAGAGACCAGCTCTCCTCTAAGCCTTTCGTGTCTCCATTGGGCATTTAAAGAAGACTACAGAGGCACTCTCAAATAATGCAGCCCCCTCCTAATCAGATTTCCAAGCCAAACCCCACAGGAACCACGGGGGCACATCTACCCTACCACACCTCCTGCAGCTGCCTGTGTGAGCCTTTAGGTTCCCTGTCCCAGCAGAAGGGGCCCGAGCATGGTGTCACCACAGGCAGTGAGGGCACAGTGGTGATCGTCAGAGATGAAGACCAGGGCTGCCAGCTGCTGGGGGCAGCTCCATGCACAGCTCTTGGCCTTGACCCAGCCTGGGTCCCTGTGGCCACAATGGCAGGCTGGCCATGTGGTGGACTCTGTGAGTCAATAAGGTCATCATATTCATCTCAACGTTCAGAGTTAGTTCCTTTTGTCAGGTAAGTCGTGGTGACATGTAGGTGTTAGCACAATTTCCCTTTGTTTGATCTAACTTTGACCAAAAGATGGAAATGGACAAGATGGCAGGCAAGTGTCCCAACAGATACATGTTCTATTTCCTTCCTTCTATCCAAAGTGGCAGGAGGCCCCAGGGGCACACGTACCCTGCACAAAATCATGAAGGGTCATGAAGTGTGCTCTACAGGGCACACAGGTGCAGAAGGTATCCTCCTTCTGAGGAGCTCCCCCAGCAGGACAGTGGCAGCCATGCACTGGGAAGGGACCCAGGAAACAGGCATACCAGCTCCCAAAACGAGCTTATCCCCTTGTTTTTTAGGTTCATTTTGGTTTTAAAACAAAGGTCCAGATCACAGCAGGATACCTGGTGTTGGTGAAACGGTGGCTTAGGGAAAGTCTACCAAGAAGGAAGCCCACAGCAGAGCAGCGACTTGTTCGCATCATGTGGGTGAAAAGACTTGGCAGGCTGCTCAGTGCCATGGCTTGAGGACCAGCCACAGTGGGAGGACATGTCTGGAGCCCTTAAAAGCAGAAATGGGCCCTGGCCGGTTTGGCTCAGCGGTTAGAGCATCGACCTGCGGTCCAGAGAGACCCGGGTTCGGTTCCCGCTAAGGGCACGTATCTCGGTTGCAGTTTGGGCCCTGGTTGGGTTGTGTGGGTGGCAACCACTCAATGTGTCCCTTTCACATCGATGTTTCTCTCTCTCTCTCTCCTCCCACTCTATCTGAACAAAAAATGGAAAATGTCCTCGGGTGAGGATAAAAAAAAAAAAAAGCAGAAATGGTCTCTGTATGAGGACACAGAGCCATACCACCCCGTGCAGGAACCTGGCCTGCAGCTGCACAAGGGTCCCTGACAAGAGTGGTCTCTTCTAGAGGGCCTTCCTGTCCAGATGCCCACTGCCCATTTCCTTCCACACTAAGGAAAGGCCACCACCTGAGGTCACAAGTCTGTGTTTCCCGTGGTACATCTACTGAGGAAAAAGGCAGAATTTTCTGCTGGGCTGGTGTGAGGAGCAAAGCAGTGGTTACTGAAGGCTGCAGTTCTAGGGAAAAAGGCCCATGTCACCCATGTGGCAGCCTCTGTGTTGCTTGGGGCAGCTGCCCCTCCAGGATGCATGGTCCACATCCACCCTGGTGTCTTAGGTTGGGGATTCAAGTCAACATTCTTAGTATGATCCAAGGACTCAGAGGTTGATGTGGGAAGACTGAGTGTGAAGGAAGCGCGAAGGCCATTTCCTCAGCTGAGCCCAGGCAAGAACAGACGGCGGATGCCAAATCCAGGAATCCAGCAAACCTGTGACATCCCCACATCCTGCAGACTCAACGAGAACCCCAAACCCTCCAGAGACCCAGGCAGCATGGGGCAGGGCCACTCTAGGGCATCCCTGGGCCACCATTCTTCAAGGGCCAACCCTGAACCAGGGCAGTATCCACACGGGGTCAATGGGGCTCTCAGCTTCCCAGACAGCTCTGGCATCTAAATTCTGAGTAAACCCTGAAGCCCCCTATTTTCTCCTTTCTTATCTGGTATCCCAGGGACTTTTATGGGCATTAAACTGCTTAATGTAGGAAGGGAAGGGAAGGTCATACAGTGAGGTTAATGGGGCTCGGGCATACTCACATCATTGGGAATGGTGAGCTCATGAGTGCTGGCCGGGGGGCTGGCATCCAGACCTGGGTACACCAAGGGTACATGGTTAGGCTGGTGGAACGCTGCTCACATCACACCCCAGTAACCGGTCCATGCTCGGCCCACAGGCAGGTCAGGGCCAGGGGCTGGGAGCAAGAGGGAGGGTCAGTGCAGCTGGGGACCAAGGGCCCTGTGAGCTCTTTGCTCAACTGCAATGCAACTCTTGAGTCCCAGCTTCTCTCAAAACAAGAAAAACGAAACCCAGCAGAATGACGTTTCACTTTCTCATTTTGGGCACATCATTATGTCCCTCCTCTGCCATGTGGAGAGACAGCTCTGGAAGCCCTTCAGAGACATGAAGGAAGCACCTTCCTAAGCAGCTCTTGGGGTGTGGCCAGTCCATGGGGTACCCAGGGCACAACCCTGCAACCCTGTTGTCCTCCATGGGTTCTCTGTCCCCTCTGCTCCTCCCTCTCCCCAACCCAACAGTGCTCAGTCCCCTCTGCTGGCCACCAACCCTGCTGTGGTGTCAGCTGTCTCTTATTGCCCTGTGACCCTACGCTCCCCAAAGCCCACTACACAGCCTGCTTCAAAGCCAAATGTGTAGTCTTCCAGGCTGGCGCTTCATTGGTTCAAAAATAGACTGCGGGGCCGCTGGAAGACTTCATTTCTGTATGGGTGTCCTAAGTTGGAGATGAAGACACAGGCCTAATTTGTCACCAAGCCTCTATCTTTACCTTGACAAATCTCAGCTTAGGATCTGCAAGATCAAGACAGCTTTTCAGAGTTTAGGGCAAGATCTACTCTTACTTTGGAAACAGTGACAACAAAGCGCACGGGGGGACTGCGTTGGGGGAACCAGTGGGGACAAAGGCCCAAGGCACATAAGCTCCCTGTATCCAGTACTTCCATTTCCTTCTCAGGAGGCATCTCAAACCCAAAGTCCACAGCTGAGACCCTGCTCTTCTCCTCCCAGGCCCAACATGGTCCTGGCATCTTGGGTCCTGCAGCTCAGGCCAGACCCTGAAGCCCCCTGGCTCCACCCCTTCTCACCACCCACAGTTAACTACACAGACCAGGTTTATGTACCTTCAGAATATTCCAGAACCTGAGCCCTCTTCCCATCTGACACTGGTCCCTTCCTCTGCCCTTGCCTCTTAGTCTAATCTCAATGTGGCCCAGAGAGGTCCCAACAAAACAAGTCAGATGCCTTCAAGACTCAAAACTCACCACGGATTTTAGTTTCTTCCCTGTGCCCCCAGAATTCACTCCATGCTCTCTGACCCCAGACCCAAGCTGGCCTGTGCCCAGTCTCACCTCCCACCTTCACACAGCCCCCACTCCTCTTCTTGCTTCTTCCTCCACAGCATTTGTGTCCCTAAAACCAGATGCACATGGCCATCTGTTTCACTGCTATGAGTGACTCTGAGGGCTGGACTGTCCTGAGGACCCGCCGAGCATGGGGACTCAGCTGGCAGGTGCTGCATGAACCAATTCATCCTGAATTGTCTGGTATTTTTTGTTTGTTTGTTTGCATAGCTAAACTTAGAGTTTCTGTTCTTTATCTTCTTTTAATAAAGGTATTTTCAATATTCAACCATCTCTATACATTCCATAAATAGTGACATTTAAAATGTCATTTAAGAGATTTCCTTATTCCTGTCTGAGTCCTACACAGAAACTCCTAACAGCCTGGCTTGGGATGGACATAAAGACGCAAGTCATATTTGTTCAACTTTGAGTATTTTGATCGAGAGGAGAAAGGTATTAGGTTTCTTTTCAAGAGGAAAGTAAACTTGAACTAATAATATGAAGACACATCATTTAAAACTCTTATTCCTGTGTGTTAGGGCTTTGTGCCCAAGGGTGAGAGTTTCTCTCCTGTGATGATAACATCCCTGCTCTGAGACAGGAACAATGCTTCCACAACACAACCTGAGCCTGCTTTGGAAGCAACACTGACATCAGCCTTCAGGGTGCTGTCAAATAAGCCAAAGCTTGTGAGTGTATGCATGAGAGTCCATGAGCTTCAGGTCACATGGGGCCTTGGGGAGGGAGGTCATCACAGGGAGCAGCGAGTAACCCCATCTTTGAGGCCTGAAGACCATGGGGAGGGGCCAAGGAGAAAGGTGGGGGCTGAATGCCCAGGGCAAGCTAGGCCCTAGGGTCCCCAGGTTATCTCTAGAGCCCTTCGCTGGGTAATTATAGGAAATCACACTATATAAACTGCTAAGGGCTGTACAGATATGCATGTATCACCCAGATAATAACTTTGTAAGGGTTGATATCCACTTCCATAATAAAAACATTCCATAAATGCTTTCTCCAATTTTTACTCATTAAGTTCTTCAATAACTTAAAGGCTGCACCAAGACAGAATTCATCGCCAGTACATGGAGCATCGGGGCCAGTGTCTCAGCCTTGAGACACCTGTGAGCCCCAGTATGCACAGCTGGGCCCAGATGCAGCTTGTGGGGAAATCTTGGGGCTTCTTCTAGCCTCAGCCTTGGGGCCTAGAACACACCACTGAGGTGACAGCCAACACCGTTGGAAATGTTCCTCCCTTGCATTTTCCTTTAGCTGGACCCTCACACTTCTGCTTTGATCCAGGATTTCAAGGGAGATGGGAGAGCAGGCGGCGCCTCCCAGACAGGAAACCCGCTCCTTGCCCTGGGTCATGGGATCTACAAATCTCTGCGCTGCCCTGTGGTGTCCCAGGACCATTTTCATTCCAATCAGAAGGGGTGCCCAGAGTGCTCTTATCCATGAGGATGTACTCCTGCCTCCTAGGAAATACATTTTGGGAAGAGGTTTTACAATATGCTCAAGTCTGCACTGCAGGCCCCCACACACTGTGCCACTAGGAGAAGAAATGACAGCAGAAACAGTGGCTCTGGCTCGTTCAGGGACTTTGTATGACAGGCAGCCATGTTCTGAGCACTGCTGAAGCCATGACCCACCACAACACTCCCAGCAGTGACCAAGGCAAAAGCTGGGAAGTGCAGATATGAATCTGGTGTGTGCACACGGGCTCTGTCTCCATGGCACAGGCCTCCCTTTGCTGAGGCCTGGCTGCCCCCTCCTCCCCAGGTCCTGCCCCGGAGCCCAGGCCTCCGCTCTCCTCTAGAGCGCTTTGTTTTACCTGACGACGGGCCCATCAGATTTTGAGCTTCTTCGGAGGAGTGTAAAGGCAGCTTTTCTCCTGGAGAGCAAAGAAGAAACACATTTAATGTTTTGCCCTCAAGGAGATAAGCAAGGTCACTTCAACTAGGAAAGCTCAAAATCTGACTGGTGTTCTCACCAGTCATGGCTGCCAAGGCGATGCTGCGTGTGTGTCATCAGAAGGAACCCACCCCAGCCCCAGTGCCCAGAGGGGAGCTGAGGACCAGTGTGCCCTGGCTGAGGACTGGCTTATCTTGGTTTTCTCAGGGGCAGGGCAGGTGCCATCCTGTGTGGGTGTCACTGCTGGGATGTGTACTGGCCTTCTGCAGAAGGGCATCCCCATATGCTTGTTTGAGCTCTCGCTCCTGGAGAGAACAGGCTCCAGGGCTGGTCCCATGGATGCATTCAGCAGGAAGGGCCCCCTGAGGATGCCTGTGGGCAGCAGAGAATAGGCCTGGACCCTTGAGGGGGCAGATGTCCCTTCACAAGACAACCAGCTGTGAGGCGACTAACCCACCTCGGGGGACACACAGACAGGCCTTCCACCAGGCCCTCAGCAATGTGCACACTGCCACATTAATGCATCCTTGGCATTCACAACTAGAACTGTACCTGCTCTGTCATTGCCCTGAATAAAGACAGTTCAGAAAGAGAAAGTCCCCAGGTGAGAAGAGAGGAGGTCAGAAAGGGCAGCTGGGTACGTACCGGGGAAAGCGGGGTTGGTCTGTCCGAGGGGAGGAAAGGGGGTTTGCTGCATGGCCAACTGGTGGAGCTTGGTCAACTGCTGGGGGTAGGAGGGACATGAGAGCTAAGAAGGTTATTGTCATTGAGTACAAGTCACACCAAATTAAAAAAAAGGCAGTAACAGAACTTAGTACAAATAGATATAAAGAGAGGCCATGCGGACAACATGGCAGACGCAGCAGAACTCAAGGACTTGGCCTGGGAAAACCAATGGGCAGTTGTAGGTGGGTGCACTGAGTTCCTTTCTTCTCCTTGGCTCCCTGGCAGCTCTGACGAACCAGTCAGACTTCCCCAATCATGTGGGCCTGAGTGGATGAGTGACCCCCAGACCAGTACAGAGGCTGCTGGGTCCTTGGGTTTCACAGGGAGGGTCTGAGAGCCACCAAATGGGACCAGCTGGGCCTCTAAGAGCTTTGCAGTCATATTGTCACTAAGAGTTCAAGTACATCTGTAGGGAACCCATGTGATGCTCCCTTCTGCAAACCTAACCTGCCCCAGCCCTACACTGGGCCTGGGTCACTCCTGAAGCCAGCCCTGCCTCACACCCCACCTCCTGTGACCTCCAAGATTATAGGATGTAGTGCTGGAAGGTTCTGTGGAGGGTGTGTATTAGAGTACCCAGAGGCCTCCCTGCTCCTGTGCCCACCATGTCTGAGCAGGCAGCTTCCTGTCCCCTTGTTCCCTATCCTCAGTCACTAGACTTTGGGGCAGGGGGTTTTGAAATGCATTCTTCAGTTATTTTATCTGAGTCTCATTTCTTAAATGAAAACTAAACGTAATAGAAGATAAAGGTAAATGTGGTGAGACTTGGCCACACCTGGGGAAAAAGGCAGCGGCTGTATGCTCAGAATCCTCCCACCCTTCAGAGATGTTGAGGCTGGAATTCCTCAAGCCTGGATGAACCATAGGGCCCAGGCCTCCAGGTGCCTTCGAGGGTGGGACAGCACATTCTGGGAAATGTCCTCAACCCGCAGTCTTTTCCCAGCAAGACCAGCCCAAATGCTCCCAGCACAGCTACCAGAGCTGGCCATGGCCTCATAAGGAGGCAAGAATGGGGGCCTCTGCAAAACCCCCAGGGGCTAGTAGGTGGGGACCTCAGGGAGCAGAGTTGGTGTCCCCAGGTGACATGAGGATCTGACCAGGCACCCACATTTGTCCCATCTTGCAGGATCTGAGCTCCTTCAGCTCCACAAAAATGTCTCAGGAAGGCAGTGACTGTGTACTTGGTTTTCTGACATCCCAGCACCTACACAGACTAGCCCTTGGGGCCACTGATGAGTGAGTTTGATGCTGGCTTCCTAGAGCTGCGCTCCTAACAATTTAGTTAGCACCACAATAAACACCAAGCGCCCCTTCCCAGTGCATGGAGAATCACCCCTGCCCCCAGATGGCCCCTTCCCCAGAGCCTCATGTCCCATCTTCTTCCTTGAGACCTGTGGGGCAGCCTGTGGGAACAGGAGTTTGTGGTGCACTGGACTGTTAGTCTGGCCACCTCCTGCTTCCACAGGTCGTGGTCTTGGTGCAAGGTGGTATGTGGTACCCAGCTGCAGCCTGAAGCTGGGCCATGGCCAGCTTGTGGCCTCCTGGTCACACCTGTGAGGTAGAACCTTGGTGGTGTGAGCCACTAGGATGCAGGTGATCCATCTTCCTAGGCTGCTCCTGAAGCATTTCCATTATAGAGTCGTCCACTTTTCTCTCTCCTGGACATCCTAAGTGCATCTGAAAGGCAGCCTAGTCCCCACACCAGGTGTCTCCCTGTTTTCTGGGGTGCTTCCTGACCTGCAGCACTTGGGTGGGCCTGCTCAGGGACAACTGGCCACATCTGAGATTCCAGAGGCCACTCCAGGCACAGTTATTGTGCCTGGGGTCCTGAGGAGAGAAGGTTAGGGGATCTGGTGACCTGGGGTCAGATTCAGTTCTAAAAGTCCCCAATGGGGTGGTGCTAGTCAAGACCACAGCAGGGACTAGGGTCTGACAGTCACCTGCTGCCCGGCATATATGCTTCTTGACCTAATTTCACTAGGCACAGTGTGACCTAACTGGGTAGGCATCAAGCCCCTGGGAAAAGTGCCAGGAGAGCATGCCTGGGAGATACTCACAGAACAAGTGGTGAGACTTGTCTGAACCCCATGTGCCTCAGGTGAGATGCTGAAAAGCCAAGAGATCCTGCAGAAAAGGGGCCTGCAAGGGTCTGAGACCCTGCTGCATGGCTGGGAAGCCTAGCAAAGGCTCCTCCTTACAGGGACATGAAAGTGCCTTGTAGAAGGACAGCAAGTATTCAAAGCATCCTGGGGCATGAGACCACCCTCAGCCTCCTGGGGATTGAACTGCACTGATGTGATCCTGCAAACCCCACCTCCCACTCAATGGACCCGAGCAGCTAGCTGTGCCCTCTGTACAACAGGTCACAGAATCATGGAGGCACTTGGTGGGGACTGTACTCTGAATCCACCCACACAGGATAGTTCAGACTAGGCCTACGGTTTCCTCACAAGGAGGTAACTACAAGTTCCCAGGGTGCAAAGGAAACCACACTCCTGGAGACAACAAATGTGAAGCTGGAGAGGGAAGGCCAGCCCAGTCCAGCTCAGGGCAGTCAGTCGTCAAGGACCAGGAATGCTTCAGGCTCTGACCAGCACTAGGGTTTTCATGCAGATGCTGTGCTCACACGGAGATAGCGGCCTGGTGTGTGACCAACCTCTTGAGGGTTTCAGGCCTTCCCCCAGGGAAAGAGGCCAGTAGGGAGCCTAAAAAACCCCACAGGCTGCCCTCTGCTCCTATTCCACTATTTCATTCCCTGTCCTCTGCTCATGTGTCTGATGGCCAGGCTGGCATGCTCTCATGAGGGCAGGCCCTCTCCTATCTGTCCCTGCATCCCCAAGAGTGCACAGCTATGCACTGGTCTATTGGTGGGGGAGAATGGGGCTCTGGAGGCAGAGAACCCGCCTGAGTTGGCCACAACCCTGACAGCTCTGTGGAGATAGGCCCAGCTGGTCTCCTCCCCATATGTAAAGTGAGGAAGCCCATGTGTATAAATGGTAGGCTGTGAAGTGCTGTCCAGGTTAATTGGGGTGAAGGTGAATAGTCATGGAAACTACCAGGAGTTTTCCTACCCACTGACCACAAGCTCTGAGTTTGGAGGCCCCCAGGTCTCTCCATCGCCTCCCTGGCAGATAAACAGAGGAGGTACATCAAGTAGGCTCTGCTCCAAAACCACTGGCTGTGTGTGTTAAAGGCACAGCTTCACTTGCACCCAGGAGTCTGACACCCTAGAGTTTGCCAGTCCCTACTGCAATGTACTTTCTGCTTTTTAATGAAACAACAGCCGCACCAGCAAATAAATCCCTGTCCCCACTCACCCATGAGCATAAAGTGACATCTTGAGGAAGTGCTGTACCAGCCCCGTGGTGCCTAGATAAATACCCCCGGTGTGGGGGCTGATGGACAGATGTCAGCTGACATCTCTTGTCTTGGTTCTGCCCTTAGTCAAGCATTTCATCTCCTTGGGACTCAATTTCTACATTTTTTTAAAGGAGGAAGCTGGACAAAGTGCTAAGGGGAATTCCCACTTTTTGAGATATTTCTGCCATAAAAAGATCAGACTCCCAATTCCCACCAGTGCCTACAAATCAAGAGAAAGGGAGAAGGGAAGAGGGAGGGAATATCATATTATATCATATTATATTATCTATATCATATTATAGATCTTTCTCTGTGGCTTGCTATTTCCACTTAACGTTGTGTCAGAATATAAAATCAGACTAATACTAAACACAGACAATTACTAAAACGTGGTATCCATAAATAAACAACTCAATGTGTTGTCACAAAACACACCATGCAACTACCTCTCATGGCAGGAAATACACCACCATGTCGGCTGGATATGCATTCATGTCTCCTTTCTGTAAAATGCTTCCTTGTGTTTTTGCCCCTTTCTCTAGTGGGTTGATTTTTGGTGATTCACAAAAACTCCTTATGTATTTCAGATACTAATCCTATTTCAGTTATATCTGCTGAAAAGATCTCCTCCCCATTCTCCGTATGGTGTCTTTAGAGAAACAGAATTTTAAAATTTATTATAGTCAAATTAATTAATATTGTCTTTATGGTTTACATTTATGTTTCAAAAAATCCTTTCCTGATCTGTGTATAGAAAGATATTCTACTATATTTTCTTCTAAAAGTGCTACATTTTCCTCTTGTGTACTTGATACATAGGAGTGTGTTTTTTTTTAAATAATTTTTTTTCTTTATTGATTTTAGAGAGAAGGGAAGGGAGAGGAAGAGAGAGATGGAAACATCAATGAGAGAGAACATCTACTGGTCACCTCTTGCATGCCTCCCATTGGGTCTCAGGTCCACAACCTGGGCATGTGCCCTGACCGGGAATCAAACCAGTGACCTCTTGGTGCATGGGTCAGCACTCAACCACTGAGCCACACCAGCTGGGCAGGAGTGTTGTTTTATTTATGTTGTCCTATGTGGATGACCTGCCATCCTGGCATCTCTGTCACAGACCAGGCTCCCTCACCCTGTGGATCAGATCGAACTCTCTGGATGGAGCCACTTGCCTATGGTGTCTCCTTGCACCCAAACCATGCTGTCTCAGTTACGACTGCTTTGTTCCTATCACTGGAACAAATCTCCCTATCATATATCCTCTCCATGAATATATTGGTGATTCTTGGCCTTTGCTCTTTCATATAAAAATTTAAAACAAGCTGGTATGGTTCAAGTGGTTGGAGCATTGATCCATGTACCAAAATTTAAAACAGCCAGTCAGGATTTGATTGCAATTTTATTGCATTTTTGTTCTTCAATTTGGGAAGAATTAACATAATTAAGATACTTAGTGCTCCTATCCATGAACATGGTATGTCCCTCCATTTATTTTGGTTTTCGGTCTTCTTTAACTTTCAATAAAGAGAAGATTTTAAAAGTCATCTTTTTTTGTTGTTAATTCTCACCCAAGGATATATTTTCCACTGATTTTTAGAGAGAGTGGAAGGAAAGGAGGGAGGTGGAGAGAGAGAAACA